CTGGAAGACTAGCGTCCTCAGGCGTGTCCACCACAAAAATCTCTTTCCTTAACGGCTTGTCAGTCTCCAGTTTACAGACAGCACACACTTCTCCCCTCGGGGGAACTACGCAATCGCCAGGTCCTATCCATCGGACTTTTCCGTCAGGTATATCAGGAATATTTTCAGTCTTTTGCTGCTGTGGCAGATGGATTGCAGGGTGTCGAGTCTGGATTCTCAAAGCACGTGCAACACTGGATCCTTCGGTATCATGGCTAAGGGCAGCAAGGCGTGTGAAGAAACTGGCGTTGGTACCGATAATGACTGGCAATTGGGAAGGACCCTGGGGTTCAGGACATACGAGAGCCAGGATGGACAACGGCTCCTCCACACCAGTGACAGAGGCGGGAAAAGTGACATCCACTATGATATAGCCCTTGTACGGGTAACTGGAAGTACTGAGGCCCCATATGGATAATCCAGTTAAGGGGTGAATGGGCACATCAGACAGGTTCTTGGAATACCAGCTTTCAAACACAATCGTCACTTGTGATCCGCTGTCTAACAGTGCTTGACATACATGGCCATTAAGCTTCACTTCTACCGTGGATGCCGGTCCTACTAGTCCTTTAGGAAGACGGCTGGATTCATGGATGGTGGTCTGGCTCTTTTTGGAGAAACAGGCTTGGTTCTGAGTAGTTCTATTGTCAGCCATCTCAGGCTGCCCACTCTTTGCCTGCCTCAGAGAACGAATCAGCTTCTGAATCACCTGATCAGAATTTGGTGGAGCTTGACACTTTGTTGCAATATGGCCATCTTCTCCACACTTGTAGCAGAAGTAGTCATCTCTTGTTCGGGCTGACTGGTATCTTAACGACGTGGAAACAGACTGGGGTGGTTTTGGCCGCTGCTCTGGAACATGAGGTGAGTATTGAGTAGAACTGACACTCAGAACTGCCAACTGCTGCTGTAAGTGTTGGACCTGTTTCTTTAACTCTTGTACTTCTGAATCATCAGTTTTTTCAGTCTTCTTGAATGGTTTTTCTTTAGTTTCAATCACTAATGATGAAGTAGACATGGCTTTTGGCTCAACTCCCCTTATTTGGGTTCTCAATTCTTGAATTTCGGCCTTGAGTTCCTGGATAACAGACGTGCTGGCTCTTTCCTCTTCATGGAAATGTATGGCCTTAGCTTTTGCAGACATTCTGTTGCGAGCCGATTCACTCTCCTCCACCTCACGGATTTCCTTCAACAGACTCAGGAAAGAAGGTGGGTGATTTTTTCTTTCTCTCAGCCTCAGTTGGAGCAACATCATGTCAGAATTCACAGCCCCTCTAATCAGCTGTTCCACTCGTACTTTATCGACCAGACTGTGAGTCAGTCCATCTCTTTCCACTACTTTGCTGAGGGTCTTCTCCATCCGTCTCAGGAATTCAGACAAGGCCTCCCCTGTTCCCTGGCGCATAAGACGAAACTTGAAGTATAAATCCTCACCAGACTCAGATGATCCAAAGGTGCTCTCCAACGCTTCCAGATACTGTGAGGCACTAGCTTCAGGATCAGAGAATCTGACAGCTCTTACAATGTCCATTGCAGGTCCCTTGAGGCTTTCCACAATTCTGCGTCGTTTTTCTTTTTCGGAGCAGTCACACTCAGTTATCAGCAGCCTGGCTTGATCAATCCAATTTTCCATATTCTCCTCACCCATGGGGGTCGGAACTACGGCTGAAAAGGTGCGCAGGCGTCGGTAGGTGTTGCTGTCACTCGAGTGCTTTACTGTCTTTTGCAGGACCTCACCCATGGCGCGTATAATTGACTCAGGGGAACTGTCGGTGGCACTGTGTGGAGAAATCAAAGCATGTACATCGCTAAGAGACTTTCCTTCTTCCATCAGGAACTTCGCAAACTTTTCTGTAAAACCTGCAGAAGCGGTGTCAGCAGCCGATTCCTTTGTCTGGATTACTATGACTGGCCATGGCTCTTTCTTGTCTCCCCGTGACACTTCAGGAGGTATGCGCTTTGGGTCGATGGCTTGTCTGCACTCACACAACACCAGCAGGTAATGTGAAGTGGGTCCTTCTCTCGTGTCCCTTACACGAACTCTCCCTAGAGCTTTTACAGCTTCCATCGCCTCTTCAATTTCGGCCACTTCGGTGTGAACGGGTACGTTTAACAGCATTAAAGCATGAGTCTCTTCAATGCTAGCATCTTTGCACCAGTTGGCCAACTCTGCTTGGAGACTGGGGTCTTTTGATAGAGCCATGATGACACTTTATGCACTTTTCACTTAATTATGATGTAATTACAGGGGTGTGTTGAGCTTAATTCCTCTTTTTCTTCTTTCAGCATCAACTATTGTGTGACTCACAGAGGGAGATCCCGGACGAGCCCCCACTTTATGTAGCGCCCCCTACCTGTCTTTCTTGTAACTAAGTAGGACAGCGCTCCAGATTCAATAACTAAATGCCTACAGATGGTGAAGTTAGGCCCCTCTGGTGTCACTAAATGAATTAATTCTCTTTTAGAAAATTAGAATAATAATCTATACTTTCCTTTTACGAGTTACTCAGAATTAAATCTCTCACCCCCTGACTAATGACATCAACCAACACTTTTAAAGGAATAACACACGAGTAAAAGTACAGAACAAATAAAAGATTTAATTGGAATAAAGTAACTGAAGGATAACTAGCTAAGCACATTAATTTCAGAATGTGAAATATTCACAAAATCACATTGCCATAAAATCTGACACAATTTAAACACTGAAACTTTAAAGGCAATCTATATCAGTTGCCAGACCTACTGGAATTAGTCTCCAGGTCAAATATACTTGGTATAGGTAGCACCAATGACCTCAAACGGGAGAAATGTACACAATAACCCACTCATATTATACAAACGATACTCTGAATATACACATATTATTTTCAGTGCACTGAATAATATTTAATGCGGTGGGCCCACACATACACACCAGTCATTCACACAACCCACCCCGTTGCAGGCCTGAATCGTGGCTCGTGTTCGTGGTGGCCGGGAAACTGAAAAATGGCCCCTTCACTCTCCTGAGCACAAAATCAATCAAACAAAGATACCTCAATTCCACGTGCAATGATACTGCAACTCCGGAATCCTGCAGCAGGCCTCACGCAGCTCCTCGTCCTCTCTCTCCCTCGTCAGCCGACGAAATGCACCTCCCACGCCGCCAGAGGAACCCCAAATAACGCGGGTATTTGGGGCGCTATCTGGTCCTCAAGGTCTCCCTCGTTGTGAAGGACGACAACCAGGTTAAACAGTCTTTAGTCAGTTGTATAACTGTCGCTGTAAACTATCAGTTCAGATGCGCTGATATGCGCAGTGATAACTAACCGAAAAACACTCGGATTCGCTCCCACACAGCAGGTTAGCCACACGAAACAAAAACTATAAAAACACTGGCTACAAACTCAAAGACGCACACACAAGCGATTCATCTTGGATCTACATTACAGTTAAAGGTTGTTTAAACTTATAAATCGTCAATCAAATCACTCTGTACCCGCAAACGCGTCTCTCTGAATCTCCGTCTCTCTCTCTCTCTCTCTCGCGCTTGTCAACAAAAACTCTCATGTCCCGAACAACCACTCACATTACACAAAACACCAGTGAGGGCGGGACTTAATTCACATACACCAATAAAATAATCAAGCACCTAACTTGATGGTTAAAGCCACGTTTTCCACATGTACACCTCTATCAAACTTGTATCTCATGCACGCGCGCTCTTAAAGGAACAAATACCGTATACTCACAAACAAAGATGAACGGTTAATTCACCTTTTATCTCTGAATTAAACAAATACAAGCTAATAAATTGAGGTAACTTATTAACAGCATACTTATAACCTACTGGGTTACACACATTTATGTGACCAGCTGTAAATGGAATCGTTTTGATAAATCAGTAGCTATCCGATCTGAGAAAACGCATGAAGTGGCGCGCGCGTGTAAACAGCCGACCCGGGGATTCCCCAGTACGTCCCAGCTCAAAATAAATTACACCAAAATCCATGATTGTTCGTTTCACACATGTATTTAATGATCTGTAAAATATGTTGTTGTCATTATTTATTTAAAACAAAATCGTGATAAAGTCAAATGAGATCAAACTAAAAGTAGTAATAATGCGATAGGGGGCCCCGGCTGTCAATCAATATCTTCCAGTCAAGCGGGCCCCTGATTGGTCCGGGCCCGTAAGCAACCGCGTACCCTGCTTACCGATAGTTACGCCACTGATCTAAAGTGTAAGTGACTTGACATGATGTGTGTGTGTGTGTGTGTGTGAGAGAGAGATTGTGTCTGTTACAGTGACAAGCGTTTAACCCTTTAAGGCCTTGTCTTTTTGGATATATATCTTTTTTTTATTAAAATTTTTTTTGCATACAACCCATATATTTTAAATGTATTGTTTGCTTTAAATTAAATTAAGATTGTATGTTTGGTAATTGAACCTAAATAAATTTAAAATTAATGTGCTATATTTCAGATCAATATATTTGTTTTCCTTCATTTTAATCAACACTAACTTTATTCTCATCTGAATTATAAATAACTTATTTCTGTATACAATAAAAAATCCCGAATAATCCAGACCAACCAGAGCGCACTATTTCTACAACATCATCAGTGCTGAAGCGGAACTACCAGAGCCGTTCGGCAGATAGCGAGCAGATATTTTGTGTCACGTCGTGCACAATAACCCTAAAGACACCAGGGTGGCGGTGCCACCGGCTTTTTATATATATATATATATATATATTTATAAATATAGCTGCGAGCAGCGATGAAGGGCCAAAGCCAGCGGCACCGCCACCCCGGTGCCTTTAGGTAACTAAAGGCACCGGGGTTGCGGTGCCACCGGCTTGGGCCCGTAATCGCTGCTCGCAGCTATATTTATTATTGTTTTGTATAACTGTCTTTTCAGTGAAATAACAGTAGATTTTTTTAAACAAATATTTCTGTGATAATGTATCTTTCACCTTTGTTTCTTGGGTTGCGGTCAACCCAGTCTCCAATCAAAGCCCCTAGTAAGAGCACTGATCCGGCCACCACCAGTCCAAAGATCCCAGTTAACAGCAGGTTATGGCCATACAGCTCGATCAGGAAGACGGAGATGGCAAAATGCCACATGCGATCACCCTGGTATGTGAAAAGAAACGCTCAGCTCTAGATATCATACTTCACATATCATAATTCACATTGTGTGGTCCTCAAAGCATCATGAGAAAAAACGTAATACTGTACCAGAGCCCATGCCCTGCTTACTGAGTGCCATCATGGCAGATATGAAAAGGGCTCCTTACCCACATAGATAATGCTCCGCTCACATAGATGAGGAACTTAGGACCCTTGAGGTAGATGAGGGCTGATCCTATGAGATAAATTGTCTCAATGTAAATAATAGACTGTTTCATGCCAGACAGCAAAAACAAGCAGGGTCTGCAGACTTATTGTAAGCATGCATATTTTAAACATGCAAATGTGTATTTTAATCACAGTGTCTTAACATTCAAAGAGATAGTTCTGTCATTCTGTCATGATTTACTCTCTGAACTCATGACTTTTTCTTTCTGTGGAGCACAAAAGTAAAAATCATGAAGAGTTGTGCCGGTCATTCTTTTCCATGCAATCACGTTGAATGGGGACTGAGGATTTTAGTTTAGGCTTGTGTAAACTCGAGTACCAAATCATTCTTTTTTTAACCAGTTCTTTGAAAAAAGTTTAACTCGAATGACTTGTAAATGAATGCTACTTCTCTTAGGAACTGTTGAGAGCAAAAAAAGTTTCACAATAATTGGTCAAATTCGTATCCACTCTTTAGTTATATGGAATATCACATATATTGAGTTTTTTGAAGAACAATTTCCGAGTGCCAAAAAACTAGTTTGTTTCCCTGTAAAGACAAAGCAGTATAAATAGTAAAGAAACATACGTGGTATATTCCTGGCTTTGATCACAGGTGAATCTCTGTCATGATCATGGTCAAACTCCAGAGCAACAGCACCACACTGGGCCCCCTCTGTTCTGAGAGACATCCTGCATCAACAGCATGACTGAATTACAATCAGGCCAATAGATGGTAAATGCATGAATCATTCGAATCAATTTATAAAATAAAGAAACTTTTCTTTTTAAAACTTGCGTACAATAATAACCATGACCATTTATTTGAAATAGTTTTTTAAAAATAATTTATTTGTAACATTATAGATGTCTTTACTGTCACTTTTGGTCAATTTAATGCATCCATGTATCTTACTGACCACAAACTTTTGTATGTTACAAAAGCTTTCTATTTAAGATAAATGCTGTTCTTTTTAACTTTCCATTCATCAAAGAATCCTGACAAAAATGGTACACAACCTTTTCCAACATTGATAATAATCAGAAATGTTTCTTGAGCAGCAAATCATCATACTTGAATGATTTATGAAGGATCATGTGACTCTCAAGACTGGAGTAATGATGCTGAAAATTCAGCTTTACATCACAGGAATAAATGACATTTTATTATATATGCAAATAGAAAACTATTATATTAAATTGCTATTTAATGTTATTATACTTCACAATATATCTATGTTTTTTTGTACCTTTCATCAAATAAATGCAGCCTTGGTGAGTATTAGAGACTTCTTTTAAAACATAAAAAAATCTTACCAATCCCAAACTTTTTAACCAATCCCAAACTATATATATATGGGTGCGTTGGGGACATTAAATATTCAACAATATTACTGACTTGAATGCACTGATACTATCGGATGAGAACTGAATCTGAGCTACATGATGACATCACTGTTCACATCACCAGATCATCTTTAGATGAATTGAACCCATTATATAATTGATGAACTTTACACAGTTATTGAACTGAAATGAATCAACACTAAACTAATTTCACCTGAATAATGACTGAACAATACTATGGCCTACTATGTATTGTATAAAGCCCTGTATAAATTTGAATTGGAAAATGAACAGACATTTCATACATTCTTAGTATGTGGTCTCCCTTTTGCTTTGATGACAGCAGAAGTTTGTGTAACACCTAATAATCATGCAATATAAAATGAACCAAAGAGCATCTTTAGCTTCAATGGAATTAAGAACATCTGACCGTCACATGATCAATGTCACAATTACATGTAAATTGACCAAGGAATTGTGCAAAATGAAATATGTCTTTCTCATTTTGCATTATAACAGTTTAAGTTTTAAAATATTTTAACTTTCTGTCCATGTTGATGGTCTTTTCCGCTTTAAATAAAATGTATATTCCCAGACTTTCAGCGTGGCCTCAGACCTCCAGACCCGCACTGTACACATAATATTTTAATATGTAAGCCAAAAAAGACAGGTAAAAAAAAACCACCCCGAAAATCACCTGATATTTGACTCCTAGAGTCCTCCTTGCTATGAGCGCTTGCTGTGTCTCAAGGTTGTGCTATCCATGTGTCCCAGGTAAGGATGCTTCCATGCAGGCCTGAATTCCAGCAGTCGTACTGTGAGGGGCTTGATAACATCATAGTGCACCATTGTATGAAACTGCCAGAAAAGCAGAACGAGTCACAGGATGACAAAGGCAGCCAGCATATTCCACAGCACGTGACAGCGAGGGGGGACAATGTCACCGTTCACCCCCCACATCACAAAAAAAGACCAAGCTGTCACTCAAATCTCATACACATGCACTCACACAGTAATAAAACATCAACATAGTGATGTATGTTATAATTAGATATCCGTTTAATTGCAGTGCCCTGATATGATTCAGCTTTGTGATCAATTAATATTCAATCAGAATCAGTTTATATCAAAATGTTTCATGCCCATCAGTACTGTTTAACAACAATGTTTATATACAATTGACATCTGAACAATATGCCGCATCTTGAACCCTTCAGATGACATATAATGCACATATAATGAATGCTCTTCATCTCACCTCTACACTTCAGATAACAAAAGTCCAAACCCTATTCATACTTTATCAAATTATTCATTGTTTTCACAAATGGTGCTGTGTTTATTTTGGTCTGCGAATTTGTCATTTTATTATTGTTACTATTTTTCAATGTGTGTTTGTGTATACCACCGCCCAATCTTAGCCCAAAGAAGAACCTAATTCTAGCATATTCTCAACATATTAATAACATCACTAGATCCCACACGCTTAGAAAAAAAGGTTCCATGGGGATCTATATAGAACCAAGGGTTTTAAAGAACCCTTTATGCCAAAAAAGGGTTCCATACAAGGGGAAACGTCTTAAATTATTGCATAATACTTTCATAATTAATGGGTTATTAAAAAATGTTTCTAGTAATAAAGCATGTAAGAGCTTGTGTCAAAATTTCTCTGTCCACAGACTTTTATTTTGATATTATTTTGCCTGTGTTCAGTTCCAGTGTGTTTAGTTCCTGTTTATTTGGTTGTCATAGTTATTTATGTTTTCAATGTTTAATTGATTAGAGCTCACCTGTTGTATATTATGTTCATCATCCTGTATTTAAGCCCTTCAGTTTCTTCTGTTATTGTCTTGTGTTAATGTTATGCATCTTTGTTTAGTTACTAGTGCTTATTACATTTCATTTCATCGATCATCTTTGTCAGGCCTAATTTTTCTGGATCATCTTGTCAAGCCAGTGCAATGCAGCATGTAAGGCATGATGAATTTTTAATTAAATTTTTTAATTTTTAATTACAATTTAAAATGAATTAAAGCAAAAATAATTAAATCTAAATCCATAAAATGATCCCATGATGGAAGAGGCTTATATGAAGCACCTGACAGAACCTTTAAGAGCATGCAGATGTTTCATAAGAAATAACTGCTCTTTATTTTGTTCAGGCTGCTACACTCCACAAAAACTTACTATGTAATTTAGAAAAACTCACACATATATTCTAAGCAATGGTACTTGTCATCATATAAAATCATATATGTATATTCATATAATAAAGTGGTATGGTGGGATATTTTGATTTTATATAGTACTCTGTATTCATCTATAGCTTTGATGTTAATGCTTTCCTGCCTTTTTTATGTTGTTAATGTTGAATCTGAAAACAGATAAAAAAATAAAAAAAATCCTCTTTTTTGGCTGGTGGTAATTTTTTTCCAGGAAGCAATCTGTTATCAAATGTTTTTGCAATTCAACTGGTTAAAGATCACGTATTGATATACGAGAAGAATTCCTCAATGCTTTAAATGCAGAAGATGTGATACCTGCTATTGGAAGGGCTCTTACTGCAACCTCGGGTGCTTCAATGCTGTCTCAGAGCCTGATGTTTCCAGGTTTTCATTTAATATAAATGGAAAGGAATGTACAGCACTGTCCAAATGGCTGATTCTGATTATTACAACAAATGATTTTTTTATGAGCAAATTATTCAATGAGGCAGTAGGTGTATTTATTACTACAGTATATATAAATATTTATTTATTAGCAAGAAACATGGGAAAAATCCTCTCAAAATCATAGCAGAACATCTGTATTGGGGAAAAAATTGGTCAAATATAAAAAAATACTGTTTCTCTATAGTCAAAATTCTAATTAAATGGCATTTTTAATTATACAAAATCAATATAATAGTAATAAGTGCCTGCCATATGCCACTACCAAATATGGCACAGCATTGTATTATCATTATTTTTTTATATTTTGCAATAGTGAAATGTATGTAAAATTACATGTATTTTATATTAATGTGCAAATCAATCTCTTCAATGTGATCTTCATTTTATCAGCAGCTGGTAAACCTGGTTGTTTTATGTAAATTTGGAAACAGAATACAAAAACTGGAACCACTAATGACACTGAAAAATAGACAAATAATTTGAAGGGAAAAAAATGATGGCAATATTCCAGCAGTTCCCGAAAAGGCAGTTATTTAACCTCTGAATGTGTTCCTATAAAACTATAGAACTTTAAATTTAATCTCATCTGTAGATCTTTTGGTCCGATTTCTGTGAATTCTGTGACTTGAGCTCTTCATCCTGCATATGGACCTTGTAAGATACCGAATTAAGTTCTTGAACCGAGGCACTGGGCTGTTTTTTGCAGCAGTGGTTTCGTATGGCTCTGAAAACAGCAGTGCCAGGTACAGACAGACTTGGGATCCCAGCCAGGAAAAAGATTATTACATAGATCCAAGATGGATATGGCTTCTTCTCTAGGGTTGGGAAATTTTCCTATAAATGAGAACAATATTATTTAATCAATTCCAAAAGTAGTGCTTTGCATATTACAGTTTTTGTAATGAGAATCAGCTTATATTAAATGATTGATAAGCTTGTAGATCACCGATTTAGGGTCCCAGGCACTGTAGAAGATTTCCTTGGTGACAACGGTGGAAAAGTAGAAGATGAAAATGGCTAACATGATGAGGGGACTAATGTATCTCCATGTGGCTTGCCAGAAGATATTAGGCTTGTGTCCAATCATAAATATCAGGTCTTCATTGAACCTGTTCATTAACAGGAGACACAATCATTTATGGCTGATTTCAGTGAGCTTTATCTGAACAATAAAGTCATAAACTCATTGTCTAGTCACTGTGAAAACATCCGTGAATTGCTGATACATGATCAAACTGTTCTGCTGTAAAACAATGTGTCTTCTTTAACTTGTCTATGTCCTATAATTAGTTCCCATCATGTGTTCGAGAAGTGTTAAAAAGCATTTAACAGCAAAAGTACTAGGCTCTGACCTACCTGTCTATCCCATAGACGTAAACGACTCCAATCATCTCAGAAAAAGCAATGATGAGGAGGGGAATCGAGCCAGCGAAGCTGTCGAACAGGGCTAGCCAGTAGTTCCCTGAGCCCTGCACAAATATAAGCCCAACCAGGCAGCAGACCAAGCACGTCACCCCTGTCGTCAACAATAAAAGGAAGAATTTAAGCTACTTCGGAAACAATATCCTCACTTGGATGGAGGTGTGTAAAATCTGCAATGCATTCTTCACTTAAATTGTCATTGATGGTTCCATAAAGAACCTTTAAAGGTGCTCTATGTAACTTTTCTACTAAAATGAATCTTTTTTTTATTGCCTGTGTGTGAAGGGGTTGTAATCACACATTAAAATGATCCACTTGTCGAGTTTTGCTATTACCTCTGAAGGCCAGTATTCCTATTTCTATGTGAAGTCTCCGGGTCGGATTTACCGCGAAATCCAACGGATGTGACGTGCATGCGCGCTCCCGAGCCTCTCTCCTTATATACAGTCTATTGTAGATGGTCAGGGAGTTACGTCCGGTTAAAGGCGCACGTTTTTCGGCTTATATCTCAGTCAATCTTTGATCAATATTCCCAAGACTCTAATCGTTCGTAGTGCTGGACGGGGCCTTTCGAACGAGCCCACCCCCGAGGTCCAACTCGCCCGGCTCCCCGAGTTATAGCCGTTCGAAATCGGGGGTCCCAGCGAACGGCGATCCGGTAGGGGGCATCCCCGAGGCCCGCCACTCTAGCGTTCGGGCAAGGGTTCCCCTGGGACCTCCTCCCCCGAATTTGAGCTCTCTGGGTCTTTGCGTTTCAGAGATACGAGCGATTTTCTTCTGAGATCGTGACGTCACCGGCGTCCGCAATTTTGCAGCGCGCCCGATGGTTTTCTGCTAATATCTCCGCGAAAACACCACCAAAAACTATGGAACTTATATGGTTCTTTTCAGCTCGACTAGATGGTCCCAACGAGCTCGGTGCTCGCCGAATTCGTCAAGTATTCGCCGAGATATTTGCGTAATAGACGGTATTGTCTATGAGTTCGAGCACGAGCGCTCTTGTAAAATTTGGTTGCAATCTGAAACATCACCACTAGAGGCCGCTAAAAGTTACGTAGAGCACCTTTAAAGGGTTAATTCACCCAAAAATGTCTGTCATTAAATACTCACCTCTCATGTCGTTCGAAACCCATAAGGCTTTCGTTAATCTTCGGAGAACAAATGAAGATCATTTTGATGAAATCTGAGAGCTTTTTGCCCCTCCATTGATAGTATGCGCAACTACCACTTAAAGACATCATTAAAGTAATCCGTGTGACTCCAGCAGTTTAACCTCAATTTTATGAAGCGACATAAGTGATTTGTTTGCTAAAAAAAAACATTATTTAGCACTTTATTTACAAAATATGAATCTCCAACAGGTGTCGCTTCATAAAATTGAGGTTAAACCCTCGGAGTCACATCGTTTACTGTAATGATGTCTTACTTTTCTAGGGCTCCAAAGCGGTAGTTGTGTAGGCTGCCAATGGAAGGACAGAAAACCATTTAACATTTATGGAATCTTTCCATTGAACAAAATGTTCTTTATAGTGTAAAAGGGTTCTTTAGATGATCAAAATGTCCTTCACACTAAGAAAAAAAGTCTTTTAAGAACTGACCACTAAAAGATTCTTTGGGGAACCAAAAATGGTCCCTATGGAAGTGCTGAAGGAAAAAAAAAAACATTTTGAAACTTTTATTTTTAAAATAAAAGAGTGTTTATAATCACAGAGTCTTCTGTATACCTGAAATGGCCTCTTTGGGCCAGCTTTTAGGAAAGACCTTCAGGTCCTGCAGGGGAACCAGAACACCCTCAATGTTGCCAAACATGGAGGACAGGCCGAGGCAGAAGAGCATGATGAAGAACAGGACGGACCAGAGAGGAGAAAGTGGCATCTTAGTGATGGCCTCGGTGAACACAATGAAGGCCAGACCTGTTCCTTCCACACCCTG